ATTAATTATATATCACGTATATCATTTACCTCTTCAAACAATTTTATCCATGTTACCGATTGCTTTATATCCATAATCCATCCGGAATTACCTTTCAAATTTCCAGCAAGATTATTCTTTCCGTAAAATAAAGGTGCCAACTTTTGTTTTTGAAAACCTTTCGCAAAGTTGCCTTTTATTTTCAATTTCATTTTCTTTATTCCGTTTTTCATCTCGAAGAAAATCACTTTTCATTTATTACCATATTTTATTTAATTCAATTAAAAATTAGTAATAACTTTACCATTCCCTATCCAATTTCACTCGCTATTTCTTTCAATATGGTAACAGCTGTGTAGCGGTCTAATTCAATCTGCGCTTTAGACTAACTATATGGATTGAATACGACCCAAACGACCTCCAAGCAAACATTATACATATATATATATATATATATATATATATAGATATAGGACAAGGCTAATATATACATCAATGCTCTCTCTCTCTCACTCTCTTTCCAAAACAGTCAACAATTAAATTTTACGTCATCAAATATTTAGTAGAGCTAAACAATTTGCTTAATTTTCTATAAAACAAAACAAAAGAAGAAGATCTTAATTTTATTACATATTTAATTTAAATTTATTTAGCATATAATAATCATTATCAATAAAAGAATACTTATCATTGATAAAAGTTCGTATTAAAAATGATTATCATATTTTGATATATAAAGCTTTTTTGATTAATCATTTTAAATGTTAATTTAAAATTAAAACAATGAACACATAAAATTTTATTTGAAAACTTTCACTTCATATTGCTTCAACATTGATAAAAATTCGTATTAATAATGATTATCATATTTTGATTTATAAAACTTCTTTTGCTAATCTCTTTTAAATGTTAATTTAAATTAAATATGTACAAAAAAAAAGCTTTTGTTAATCATTTTAAATGTCAATTTAAATTAAAACAATGAACACATAAAATTTTATTTGAAAATTTTCACTTCACATTATTTCAAAAGAAAAGAAAAGAAAGATTCAAATGCATGAAATGAATTAAACAACAAAATTGATATGATCAAAATACTACGACATTATATGCATTTTTTGCAAAAAAATCATATTTATGCAAAGGTAAAAAGTGAAACAACAAAAATTAAGAATATTTGTAAAAAGCAAAATTGAAAATGCTGTACACACACAGACACACACACACACACACACACACATACACACACAGACACATACATATTGTATAAATCAATTATGATAAGGTGAAGAAGGTATGAAATTTTTATACACACATATTGATTGTATAAATCAATTATGATAAGGTAAAGAAGAAAGGTATGAAATTTCTACACGCACATACATACACACACACACATACACATGCATATTATAAATCATGATAAGGTAAAGAAAGGTATGAAATTTTTACACATACACACATACATATTGTAAATCAATTATGATAAGGTAAAAATGAAGAAAAGGTATGAAAAAAATTTTTCTTTTTTAACAAAATAGTTAATTGCCTAAAACAATAGAAGAAAAAAAAAACATGCAACAACAATAAAAAAGCACCCCTGTGAAACAACAATATAAGACATATTTGTAAAAGTGATATGTTTTACAGAGGAAAAAGAGTGATAAAAGACATTTTAAAAAATAAAAACTATAAATTTCTATTTTAAGTATTTCAAAAACATTTTAAAATTTATGGAAGAGTGATATTATCAATGAATGAGACAGACAGACAGACAGACAATGATAATCCCGTGATAATATATTTATAATAATGATAATGATGATGATATATGGTATTATTTTGTATGAAGTGAATATGTTGAATATTGTTGAAGATTTTATGTTTTAAATCAAAAAATACCAATGAGCGATCAAATTGAGAGAAAGTCAAAGAAAAAGAAAAAGTTGAAAGTTGAAGACAAACAAAGAAAAAAAAAATGATAACTGTAGAAATATAGAGCAAATAGATAGAGAGATATGATTCAACGAAAAATTTTTTGAATTAATCAAATTAATCTTTTTTTTTTAAAATAATCATTATTATTATCATCCCATATCATTTATTGAATTTTATAAGCTATTTAATAAATTTTGAAATTTTATGAAACATGTGAAAATGTATCGTTGACAGTAGAGATAATAATATGTAGGCCACAGTATCCATTCATCCATTTCAAAGTTTGCAAATGAAATGGTTCGTTAGAGAAGTTTAGCCTAAAAATGAATTAGCGGACGAAAAAAAGTACAAATTTCTCTCTATGTCTTTCCTTTTTTCTTTCACCAAATTCTTCATTCAAAAAGCTTTTTCCTCTTCCACTCTGCATCTATATAAATTCTAACATTCAATGATTGGTCACACACATACACATACACATACACATACACACACACACACACACACGCACATGCATACTCAAAATCTATTTCACAAACTTCACTTACCGTAACCAATATTAGGAGTATTTTTTTTAGGAAAAAATTTTAGGATAAATTTTTAATCTAACTATTAAAGGTCTTCATTTAACAACATCAAAGATAAAAGTTATTTTAATATTAAATTTCAAAATTAATCATTTAATTTCGATGAAAATTTGATTAAAATTACTATAAAATTGATCAAAATTAAAAACAAAAAGAAAACCAAAGTTATACGGTAAGATAAAATTTCCAACAAATTTTAGATTTTTCATTTCTTCCAAATATTCCTCTTCTCATTATATTTTCCCTCCTCTCTCTCTCTCTCTCTCTTTCATTTCTTCCAAATATTCCTCTTCTCATTATATTTTCCCTCCTCTCTCTCTCTCTCTCTTTCATTTCTTCCAAATATTCCTCTTCTCATTATATTTTCCCTCCTCTCTCTCTCTCTCTCCCTCTCTTTCATTTTTCAGTCTTTTTCTCATTATCAAATAAGAAAAATACAAAATAGGTTTTAATTTCATTCATTTTCATTTCCTTTGTTTGATGATGATAAAGAAGAAGAAGAAATGAAGTGAAGTGAAAAGTGTGAGCCGAATAAAAAGAAGAGAAAGAGAAAAAAAGGGAATTTTTTGTTTTCTTAAAAAAAGAAAGGGTTATAGAAAAAAAGGAGAGAGTTGAAATAAAATTAGAATATTCATTTAAACGAATAAAATGATCGATGAATGTTGAAGAAAGCAAAAATGAATGAAAGAAAGAAGCAAAGAAAAATATTATTTCTTTTAGTGACAAAAACCACCTTTCATCCACTATATCTCTTTCATTTCTTTTCATTCTTTTATTTCCTCCTTTTCCTTACTCTTTTTTTAATTTCTCCTATCTCTCTTATCAATGAATTTTTTGAAAAAAAAATAAAACAAAACAGAAAATGGAAATAGACTTTTTAAAACAAAAGCTTTATTTATTTATGTAAATGAAATTAAAAGAAAATGCAATAGTCATATATCGAAAGAAAGAAAGTAAGTATGGGAAATGAAGAGAGATAGATTAATTACAGTAACGATATTATTCAAATATTATGAAATGAAATGGTTGAAAAATGCGCATCGTTTAATTCTCGGAATGAAAATACGGAAATGAAAAGAAAAACGAAATTATTTGAACAGTTAAGAAAGTGACAAAAAGAGAGAGAGAGAGAAAAAGAAAAAAAGAAAAACAAAGGAAAAAGAATGAACGGATAGAGATTACAAATGTATGTAAAAAAACATGTCAACCTCTCTTCTCTCTCTCTCTCTCTCTCTTCCTCTTCTAACTCATCAAATAGAACACATACATAATATATACTTCTTGATTGTCACCATTATATCAATATATCTGACACGAAATCCAATTGTCCGCTTCGAAATTATGGCCTAATAAAAAAATAAGGAAAAAAAACGGAATGATATTCGGGATCTTTCTTTTAGGATAATACATCTACTAATCCAACATTCAACATCCAACATCCAACACCCAATATCCATTCCATTCATTCATTAGAACCACTCTCTCCTCTACTTGATGGCTAACAGAAATGTAAAGAAAACAAAGATAAACATCTATTATGAAATTAAATGAAATTTTAACATTACTTTCATACATTTGCTATATTGAAAATTTTTCATGAAAGAAAAATACAGTACTATATTAGGAGTGAGTAGATAACAAGAAGTTTGATAAACGAATGAAATCTTAATAAAATGGAATCCGAACGAGATCTGTAATACATATTTCAAAAAAAAGATGGCCTTAATATGATAATGAATAAAGTAGATATTTGTTTGTTTGTTTGTTATCATTTATCTCAAAAAGTTTTACGATTCAGGATTTTTTCCTCTATATAACCGGAACAATAAGCGAAGCATACTACTACAGAAGAGCTACCAGTAATAATCGTTTTCTGTTGAATAATTTTTTTGCACTCGCCAATCTTTCACAGAAAAAGAACTAACTCTTCTTCATCTGCAAAACAGCTTAATCCGACCATCTGTCGTTGTTGAAATCTAAAAAGAAAAGTAAATCCAAATTATCCCTTTACATATTGTACAATTTAAGAGGGCATAGAAATCATGTCAGGTAAGTACCACGCAAAAAGTTTTTCATTAAAAAAAAAATTTCCAACCTAAAAATATTGAGATTTATGGAGCTTTCAAATATTTCATACTGTCAGAATTTTAATCATTTCAAATATTCAAAAAAATATGTAAACAAATTTCATATTATATAGACCGATATTCATACTATTCAAAGTATTCTTTAACTGTCTCATTCACGCATGAAGTCAATATTATTTCTTCAAATTCGGAATAATGTTTGATGTAATGATATTTAGGGTGAGAAATTATGGAAATAAACAAACAAACACGGCTGAGAGGAAGTCAACAATTGACTAAATTTGGTATCATCAATGAATAGTAAGCTAGTTAATCTAGCCTCATATAGCAGTAAAACTAATACTAAATAGTAGCAAAATGATAAAACTGACTGGAAAATGTCAACAAAACGATCGGTGTTATCCTGAATCAATCAGGATAACATCGACGAAGCATTACGCTGAGCTTGCAGCTGTGCTAACAATAGTCGTGCCAGTTGAAAACCCGCCGGAGAACCACCGTTATTTACGCCAGTAGTTGCAGCACTGGCAGCAGCAGCTGCAGCTGCTGCTGTCGCAACTGCTGCAGCATTTCCACCATTTGGAAAACATTTAGATGATGCAGATTCTTCCAGCATCCAATTCATTTCTTTCCCAAGTAAATATGCTGATGGACTACTACCTGAAAAGTTTCACAGTATAATATATACATTGTTTGAATGGAAACAGATAAATGGTTATGTAAATTTCTGAGAGATTCTCATCGATAATGTGAACAAAAGAAATGAACTGACAATGAAACAAAAGAAATTGAATTAACATATAGCGAAAGAAGCATTAGGCGTTAAGAGGCACCAATTCTATAAAAAAGAACATAATCCACTTATGGAATTTTCAGCCAAATTTTGCATATTTAACTGTTATTTCTAGAAAGGTCAGCCAGCGGAAAGGCAAAAATTATTTATTTTCACGATTAATAACGGCTTAGGATTCATTCGAATCCCAAAGATCAAAATGATAAGAAATTGATAAGAGTTTTCTCATCTGATCATTCTTGAGTTACACTATCGAAAAAATTGAGTTACACTATCAAAATAATTCGAATTGGAATTTATATTTAGAAGAAAAATATACTTGTTGAAAATGGCGTAATTGTAGGAGAAGCAGCAGCAGTAGCAGCAACATCACTAGTAATACTCCGATTTAACAAATGACCAGTATCATCCGTCCTTGACCTTTTCACCTTTGGACTATCCTTATTTTCTTGATTTCTGAAACAAATGGTGAATAATCCTCCTTGATTGGCTTTTAACTCAAGACTTTTTTCTCAGACACATAAGTTTTGTCCAGTCGAAATGTTCTTATGCAGTTTTTTCAACTACAACTTAACTCTTCTGAAAATGTTTAATTGAAGAAAATGAGTAAACGAATTAACAAAACAAAGCATACTGATAAGCAAAGATGAAAGCATCATGTTAATAAAAAGCATTCTAATCTATTTGTGAAATGCATAGAAACATGAAAAGATATGAAAGAAAGAATTAAAAGAACCACAAAGTATACAAATATTACTAATTATCACGAAAGTATTCGCTTGGGATTTCTTCAAGAGAGAAAGGACATGGATAAACCAAAACATATATCACTAAAATAAATACTTACATTTGCAGACGAACAACCCGTTGTTAATGACTTTTGCAAGTCATTGCAAGCATGCAAGAGAAACTTGATACAATTAAGTTGTTTCAAAGCAAGATGTAAGAAATTTGCATGCTTTAGAACAGAAAGAACGAAAATCTTCGAAACAGTGAAATTTTTGATAATTATTTTATCACAAATTACTGATAATCAGTGCAACAGGAAGAAGGATGCGAAAGAATCTCGTAATATATACCATGAAAGAAACCTATCACGAATTCTCAAAAAAACTCCCGGTACTCCGAATAGTCATAATTTAATGAATGTATCATGAAAAGAGTTTCACAAATACAACAAAAATAACAATACATGGAAGAATATCAAGGATCAATTCTCTAAACTAATAATTTCAAACTTATGAAACATACCTTCTTTCCGCGAATTTTTGATTGCATTTCCGAAGTGTTAAATCAAGTGGAGTTTCATCTGTAGTTGTTATGAATTTACTACTACTGGTAGAAGTAATTGACGGATGTACAATCATTGATCCTTCCACGCTAGATGTTGAAGCCGTCGTTACGGTCACTTGATGAGATAAGTGACGCATACCTATAAGCAAAAAAAAGCCACGTTGATCCGACCAAATTTTTCATCCACCTTCTTATTCCTTAACTTCTTCGAATTAAGAATTTATTTAATCTTTATTTCTTTTCCCATTCTTGCTTATTTTTTTCGCAACCCAATTTCATGTTAGAATTTTATTTGAAAGAAAAAGAAATGAATTTTATCAGAAAGAACTGAAATCTCTCATATCCTAAAATGAACTTGAATATATCAGTAACCTTTTCGAGCTAATTTCTGCTGATAGGCAATTGGACATCCAGATAAACTTCGATGAGATGTTCGATTACTATTCACATGGCCTTTACCCGTACAACCTGGTGTTGTACATCGTAACACCGTATCTTGTTGCAAGGCTAATACTTGAAAAATTTTTTTTTTTAGAATTCATATGATGAAAATTTCAGTAGTAACTGATGTTTGATTTGAAATAATCCATAACTTTCCGCATCATTTCCTCTTCTTTTTTTTTTCCCCACCTGTCGTTGTCATTTGTCTCCTTTCATCAATGAAAGTATTTGAAAAAGGAGGAAGACTGAGAGAAAAGGTAATAAATTAGTTTAAATTAAGACATATGGAAAGTACAAATTTGAGAAGACAAAGGATAAGTGACGGAAGGAACAAAAGGCGGCATGTTGTCGATCAAGGACGATCAGCGTCACCCACTTTTTGCATACTATAATCGACAAAAACATCAATTGGATAATCATCACCTCGCGAACGTACTACTTCACTACTACCCTGATTAACATGAAAGTTAATTATACCGTATCCACAATAGCGGAGTGTACACTACCAAAGAGTTTCTGCTTCATCTATAAATAAGGTTGATCTTTTCCTGCTATAGGAACATTACTCATCCCCCCTCTTTCTTTTGTCGGTTTAATTTAATGAGCTCAAAAAAAAGTGATAAAAATATCAACTATAAATATGTATGATATTAGGAGAGAAATTATTTTCAAAACATTTGCCGACAATGAATCTCTCCTCATTAATTTAGTATGACGAAATTTCAATGAAACAATTAAATATAGATGAAATATCAATGGATAATCAATAACAGCATTGAAAGGGAGAGTGGAAAGAAGAAGCTTCGGGTGGAATAATAATAATAATAAATTTCTCTATGCGTACGTATATATAATGCAATAATATATGAACGAAATGCGGCATATTTTTTATTGCTTTTTGAAAACAATTATTAACTTTAATGACGGGAGAATATATTTCAAATTAATTTTCGGATAATAAAAACAAACCATATGGAATGGATGATGAGCTTTCAGCGTTTCATAAAACTGTCGTAGAAAGTGTTTTCCCTTAGGTTTAACATCATTTGAAAGATGAAAAGGAGGGTAAGAAAGGATAAAGATGAAAGGAAGGTAAGAAAAGTTATCAACAACAACAACTCCCATTTTTAACACTTAACTTTTGTTTCGAAAAAATCAATTTGTAAATGGTAAATATCGGAGAGAAAGGCTATCACTGCAGAAATGGTAATAGGAAAATCTGTAACTATGATTTATAAGAGATTCCGGAAGAAAATGAAAACTGAAAAGGAATCAGAAATTCGTAAAATGGAAATGTATACATTAAAATTTTTAAATTATATAAACTTTTGGCGGTATAAAAGATAACAATTGCAAGCTTCTAAAAGACTAACAATTTTTATCATTATTAAACTTTTAGAAGAAGAAAATCAGGCAGCTTAATGGTTGACAAAGGATATTTGAGATTGGAAAGAGGATCTTGATGACCGACCATCTGCTACTCATGACGATTGATCATGCATGGGATAATCAAGGAAATGTTTGCCTTTTCATGTAAGCGCATTTGCCGATACAATCTTGTGTGACGGTACCAGGTCAATAGCTATCTAACCTCCAAATAACAGAAATGATAATTAGCTGACAATAAATAAACATAATAGATAGAAGGAGAGTAAATTCGGAGGGAGATTTATATATCCAAAATATTTGAAATTTATTCCAAACAAAAATCAAAGTTTCCAAATCTACAAATTGTCATTTGCAGTTCTCTAATTCTACCTATTTTTAAATATGTAATCAATCATTATTTTTTAAATTCCATCTCTTCTATACTGTATCCATTTTCATTTTTCTTATTGATTACAAAATGAACATGAAAGCAACCGATACCCGGAAAATTGCAAAAACTCTTCAAATTTTCACCAAATAAAATTATTAGAAGAGGATTCATTTTAGCATTATGAAGAATGAGAAAAGAAAAATGTGAAGAGACAAATTCAACATTAAAGGAAATCTGCCATGATATGTGTATAAATATGCAAAAATGACATAATCGATCAATGATTGATTATTTTTATTACTTCATGATTTCTTCAGTAAAATTAAATTAATATTTGAATATTGAGGAGCACCTCTCTCTCTCTCTCTCTCTCTCTCTCTCTCTCTTTCTCTTCCTCCCTCTCTTTGTCTTAATTAAGACACTGAAAATTTTTAAATTTTCATTTCATTCAATGAAACTATCCATCTTATAGATATTGTTTCTTATTCCGAAATAACGGAAGGTACATATATATACATGTGTGCGTGCGTGTGTGTGTGTGTGTGTGTGTGTGTGTGTGTGTGTGTGTGTTTTTTTAACATGAAATGTAAGACGGCTTGTTTAATAATGTCTTCCCTACACATTTCCAAAGTATTGCGAAATCAAATGAATGACTCACATTGTATTGTCGATTTATCTGGTCGTCGTGGACAACCCGAAAGGCTCCTGTGATGAGTGTAGAGGCCCGTTTGATGGCCTGATCCATCACAACCTGGCGTTGGACAAGTCAACTTTCCAGCTTCTGCAAATGGCATTTTTGTCTCAGAAGAACGAGTCGAAAATACGCCTATTAGATATTTAAAATACACGAAACCAAAATTTTCAAAATTAATTTTTGAAATTTGAAATAAAATTTGAATATAACATCTTCAATTTTCCCCATGCTGAAAATATGATGAATTCAGCAGCGATACCTACCGTACTTTTATACTTATTGATTTTCAAATTATCCCTTATAATCAAATTTTGCTACCTTTTTTCTTGAAAATTGAAAATTATCCGGAAGATTTTTTTCTTTGAAAAATTATGTAAGATACGGATCATTTATCAGTCTTATTAGGTTTAAATAAGAAAATAAGGTATGTAATATTAATAGGGAATGTTTTTCAGTTGTATTTTTTGGAATAAAGAAATCGAGAGCTATTTAAAATTAAGACTCAAAAAATTTGAAACTTTATGTCAAATCAAATAATCGCATTACTATATGAAGTACAATTATCATAGCTAACATCCGATCAACCAACGTAAGATACTTTCGAATGTATACATTACCCATACAAAGCAAGTAGAAGAGTCTTCGAAAATTCACAAAATTTAATGAATTCATTGGTTGGATAATATCATATCACTTGTCTGGAGAGTGATTTAAAAAAAAGATTATCAAAGAAAAAACAACTAAAGCTGTCTTACATATTAGACATTTAAAATTACAAAATCATATATTAGAATAAAGACTATACCATTCCGATTCTTCAATCCAGTGGGAAATAATGACAGTGAATACGGAATTTTCGTATGAGATGATTGGGAATCGACGGAAAGTGGTGATTGCGGAGTGCGTGATTCTGGAGTGCTGCTACGTTCCGAGCAGTTCAAATTCATAGCAGTAAATGCAACATGATTTAGAGTAGGTGTCGCTAACGATTCTGCACTAAATGGCAGCGGTTGATGGATCTGTTGTGAAATGGTGGTACCTGATGATTGCGATGCTCGATCTAATGAAGTTTGGCTTACGGATGATAAATTGGAAGTTGAAGGTTTGCAAATAATATTATCAGTTGTTTCAGTAGTATCGATTGAAAATTTGCCTGTATTTCCTTCTGAATCTTCTTCTTGCTCTTCCGTAAGCTGTTCGACAACATGCAAAATATTTTTTGCTGAAAATTTATTCATTTCTTTTTTCGCATATTTTAAATTTTAATTATAGATCTAAAGAAAAGAGCACTTTTTTTATCCCTTTATTTTTAAAATAACTTAACTAGTTAATTGAAAATATTCACATAATAAATCAGTATAATTAGCCCTTAATAAAAGTAAAATATATTACTCAAATTAAATGTAGGCAAAATCTAATGTAACCGGTAATCTTTTACCAGTTACTATCTACTCCCTCCATAACAACAATAATTGCTAACAATATCAAAAGATAATGATAATGATAGAAATTTGAGGACGAAAAAAATAAGCATCATTAAAACCTAATAAAATGAAATGTTCGCAGAGGAGAAGATAGTTTGCCATGTTACGGTCAAATATCTGTAAAAAAAACCATCAATATCAACCTCACTCCCTCTCTCCCCTTCCTTCTCATTCATTCCACTTCCTTAAGATACCTATTATATATCACCTTAAAGATAACATTACCATTCTTTCTCCTTTACTTCCTACCAAAACTAACAATGATAATTTTAAAGCAATTACTACTGTATAATGATGAAAATAATATGAGCTGCAACACTTTTTAACATCTGGAAGTAAATAAGAAATCTATCAAACTATTGGATGGATGATAACATTGGGTGACAACAGTGCTTTCACCATACGATTTTGTTGTATATAAAAAAAAAAAGCTTTCAATATTTTTCAAACTTTACTTTAGCGATTCGTTCGCAAATAATTTGTTAAAATAAAATTAAAAACTTCAAAATAGTCTATGATGAATAAGAAACAAGTAAAATTGTTATTGCTAGAAGTAGCAGTCTTAAAATTATAATTTGAATATCATATATAACATAATCTAAGTGCAAAACTATTATATCACATTCCATATATTGCTACTACTTTTATTCCCTATTCCTCTTTGGTTTATAACATGGTAATTATCATTTTGCTATGAAATGAAAAATTGTTTTATGATAATAGTACCAACCATTGATTTGCAATAATAACACTCAGGTAGGAGTGTTTCAAACAATGAAGAAATCTGAAATGTAAATAAAATAGAGACAAAGGAAGAAAAATGAAAAGATAAGGACAATTATATAAAAATGAATATAATGAGATTGGAAAAAGAATGGGAATAATTTCGTTGAAGTTAAAGTATAAAAATATTCACATCTTTCTAAGCATGAAGTTTCATTTGCTTACGATACATATCATTGTAGTTCATCGAAATCTTAGGCCAATGGAAAAGTTCAATCTAAGCATGGCTAAATAAGGTAATGATTATATGAAGATCAGTTTATTGCAAAATTTTTATGATAAAAAAATTCAATGACTTATTTATAGCATTTGTCGTTGACATCATATTTAATTGACAATGTCAGACAATTAATTACTTAGAAAGAAAATAGGAATAAAATGGGTAACGTAAACATGATAATAACAAACAAATATATGCAACAATCAAGCTTAAGAAGATAACGAGGATATCGTTGCATTCATTTATTGCACTCTTCCACTTTCATTCTCTTCAGATAGAGCACAAGTAAAGTTGAAATTTTTCCACAAATTAATAAAAATGTAGAAATAATTGAAAAATATGAAATATAAGATTTTCGAACAATTTAAAAGAATATGGAAGTGAAAAGTTTCAAATAATTAAACTAAAATTCATGCCAGATAGATGCATCTGTAAAAATGAACCTAATTATTTTGAAATTTATGCAAACAATGTATGCAACAATATCATCATCATCATCACTACCATCATCATCGTATATCCTACGAATAATACTTCAATTTGTAAATTCATGGATTGTCAATAAAGATATAAAATCATGCAGCATATATGTTCCTGGTTGCACGAAATGAATTTAGCAACATCGTGATAGGCTTAGGCTTTAAATAAGCTGTCAGCTTCGCTTATTTTCCATACAGCTTACACTTCGCTTACGAGGATGAACTATTAAAGTAAACATGTACTCAATATATCGATAAATCGAGAGTTAAACAATTCAGCATGCACTAATGAATATTTGGATATGAATTTTAGTAAAACGGTATGATGAATAATTTGTTTGGTAAGTAAAGAGATAAATGGAATTTATAAATTACAAAAAAGGAAGAGAATAAAAAGAGTAAATGAATACATTGAAAATTTCCCAATCTCAAAAATGAAACTTACAGGCAATTCTCAGAGAAAAAAAATGAGCCAATTCCAGAAATTGTCAGAGAAAAAAAGTGAGCCAATTCCAGAAATTCTTAGGGGAAAAAATGAGCCAAGTATAATGCATGAAAATATTTGAAAATTAATTAATTTGCGCTCTATTTTAAATATGAAAATTAAAAAGAAAAGAAAAAGTTACCATCTGGTTTCCTCCGTCGTTTCGCATTGTTAATATGAGCATTATTGGTACCACTAAGATGACTATCACTACTGTAACAATCATTTGTCATCATGCGACAATTTGATGATGATATCTTAATCGATACCGAATCATCATGTCCTGATGAGGATAACGATCGACATGTTAACGGAGAGTTTTGCATTTCTGTAACTTGCTGTTCTACGCATAAATCCGAATCATGATCTTGTACCGGTGATGATATTGATAATTCTTTAGATGAAATTGATGTTGAATTCGGATGCAAATTTGTTGCAGCTGTTGCATGATGTAATTTTGTCATTGTTGCATATAAAAAATGTGGTGTTGCTGTCATTCCTGAAAATAATTCATCTATAAATATTATAAATCATTAAAATCTTTTCCCATATTGTATTAAGATTGATGTAAATCATAAAATTATACAATATATATATATATAAATTACTATAAATTTTACATTAGAATATAATATCCATCATGAATTATTAACATGTATCTTCATTTAACGTGTAATTTAACGTGTATCATAAGCTATTAGATATCTATTACGAATTTATTATTAATGTAAATTTCAACATTTATTAATCAATATTGATCGTAAATTTTAACCTATTAAATTTTAATTTTAAATTTATTGATGATATAAATTTTAACATTTCTTAACAATTTATAATCTTACCATTTATATAAATATGTAATTTAATACGGATCATATATCAAATTTAAATTATAAATTTATTGACGTGTAAATCTTAATGCATAACATGTTTGTCTACATTAATCGTATACTGTGTGTTATTCATTATGAATTATTAATATGAAAAATTTTCAGGTATAGTATATAATGATGTAAATTATAATAAATGATCAAGATCGATTATCATCTAAATCGATGATCCCTTCTTTCATCAATGAGTAAAAGTACAACGGAGGAAATATGCACATCGTGACAAAACGGAAACATACAACACAATGAAACTACCATCACCATCACCATCACTACCACTATCACTATCATCTAACCATTACACCATTACCACCACATCATTGAAAGCTTTTTACTTTTTCAAGCTTTCTCATAAATCCTCCAAACAAAGCCTATTGAAGAGTAGTAGCAGTAGTAATGGTTGTGGTTGTTGTGGTGGTAATAGTGGTGGTGGTAGTAGTGGTGATAGTAGTAGTAGTAGAACTAATAGTAATAGTAACAGTTGCGCAGATCACATGAAAATAATAATGATGAGGGAGAATAAGGGAGGGTTAGTTGAACACAAAATGTTACTACTACTACCTCCCCCGCCTTCCACACTCCCCCCGCAGACGGTCCATAAAGTATGTAGATGGTGTGTGTGTGTGTGTGGTGTGTATGTGTGTGTGTGTATGCTTGCATTTGTCTGTCTGCAGGAAACGATATAGGAAGAACTCGAAAATGAAAGTATCTCTCCTCCTTGAAGCAAGCAAACGATATATATGAAGAAAGATGGAAGAAGCCAAACTACTCTTTCTATAGTTACTTTCCATGCAACAAAGCTTAACTGATCTATTCTCCCTCCGCCCACCTCTTTGTCTTCCTCCTCCTCTTTCCGTACTATCATTGTGCATGATGAAAATAAATACAAGCGATGATTATAAATAGGAGGATTATTTCAATACAAGTTGCTACTGTCAATTACCACACTTCTCATTTTTAAAAGTTCTTTTTAGGAAGAAAAGCCTATAAGCGGCTTTTCGGCTTCATATCGGCTCTTTTTTATCTTTTTGACCTTTGAACATATAATTTCAATCTTTAATTTTCACTCTTTTTGATCGTTTAAAAAAGCTATAAAATTTCATTTTTTTCTTCTCTTAATTTCATTAACTTTTTCTATTGTTAGTTAAATTTAATCATTCAATTCCTCTTTTCTTCTCTCTTCCTTCCTCTCTCTCTCTCTCTCCGCTCCTCTCTCTCTCTCTCTTCTTATTCTCTACACTTTCATCTTTTCACTTTAGATAAGATTATAAAGTCTAACTCTTCAACTAAGTAGCAAACTACGGTAACTACCACCTGCTTCCTTACCAATCTTTTTCTTCATTCATTTATCTTTCACAAAATTTTTTGTTATGCGGAGAGAGAGAGAGAGCGAGAGAGAGAAAGAAAAAAAGTCGAAGTATTGGAAAATTCTATTTTTCGACCCATCGCATATTTCGAATATTTTATTTAAATTTCATAAAATAGTTATAAATGTTTTCGTATGCAATAACTTTTAAATTTAGCAATAATGCGGAAATTGTAAAATAAGCGCAAAAATTTAATTTCCTCACATTATGAAATTTAAATAAAATTTGCAATATTATTAGTATAAAATAAACTAACTAAATTCGTACAACATTTTTTTATAGCCTTTAAATTAATTAAATTATTTGTTCGATTTATAGGCTAAGTATTATTTACTCTAAGTTAGCTAATCATTTAATGATATGAAATAGTTTTTGATTTCATCAATTTTCTTCAATGAAATCAATATTATTCATTATTTTTTATCATTGTCATTTTAAGTGAATGTAGAATGATAAGAAGTGATGAGGGCTGAAACAAAGCATTTTGATTTCATGATTTTCTTCAATGAAATCAATATTATTCATTATTTTTTATCATTGTCATTTTAAGCGAATGTAGAGTGATAAGAATGATGAGGGCTGAAACGAAGCATTTTGATTTCATGATTTTCTTCAATGAAATCAATATTACTCATTATTTTTTTTATCACTATCATTTTAAGTGAGTGTGGAGTAGATAAGAAGTGATGAGGATTGAAAAGAAGTAGCATTATTTTACTCTAAGTTAGTTAATAACTGTGCGATATGAAATGGTTTTGATTTCATGATTTTCTTCAATAAAATAAAATATTATCATTGTTATCATTTTTTTATCACTATCATTTTAAGTTATAGTAAAGTTCATGATTTTCCTCAATAAAATCAAAATTATCATTGTTATCATTTTTTTATCACTATCATTTTAAGTTACATTAAAGCTCATGATTTTCTTCAATAAAATAAAATATTATCATTGTTATCATTTTTTTATCACTATCATTTTAAGTTATAGTAAAGTTCATGATTTTCCTCAATAAAATCAATATTATCATTGTTATCATTTTTTTATCACTATCATTTTAAATTATATTAAAATTAGATGACAAATTAAACAATAAAAATTTTTGAGGAAAAAAAAAAGGAAACAAAACAACAATAATAAATATTTAATTAGCAAATTGTTTACTTAAATTTTAATAAAATAAAAAAAATGTCTAAAATAAAATGGAAAATTTTTTGCATTCATTTATCAAATTTTTAAGACAAATTATTTCGTTCAATGAAATTTCTTCTAAATCATTTATTTTCTATCACATTTCATTTATATGATATTTGGAAGTATTAAACAGATAAGATATCTCGGGAAGAATAAAACATTGTTAGACGATGATATCTCGGGAAGAATAAAACATTGTTAGACGATGATATCTCGGGAAGAATAAAACATTGTTAGACGATGATATCTCGGGAAGAATGAAACATTGTTAGACGATGATATCTCGGGAAGAATAAAACATTGTTAGACGATGATATCTCGGGAAGAATAAAACATTGTTAGACGATGATATCTCGGGAAGAATAAAACATTGTTAGACGATGATATCTCGGGAAGAATAAAACATTGTTAGACGATGATATCTCGGGAAGAAAATTATGAAGTTTTGCTAGAAATTAAATTTTATAAGTATATGATTGAAAAATCATTAAAAAGCTCAACGTTTCAATTTCTATCGGGAATTCCAGATACACCAATGCTTAAATAGTAAAACATTATTAAATGATTTCTCGGGAAAAAAAAATTATGAAATTTTACCATAAATTAAATTTTGCAAACATTTAATTAACACAGATATATATATATATATACACGATTGAAAATTATTTAAAAAGTTCATCCATTTTAATTCTCTCCCATAATTTCAGGTTGTTAACAATGAAATTATGAAATTTAAATTTAGCGATAGCGAAAATTGTAAAATTCCTAATTTATTAATTACAAAATTTACCACAAATAAATGCATAATTTAAAAAATAAAAATAATTATTGATGAAGAAATTAAATTTCAGTAAAATTAATGAAACGAAATTCATTTGTTTTAAAATAAAAACAAAAGAAAGCTTTAGAAAAAAAAAAAAAAAGTGAAAAGAAATATCAAATGTAAGTGATCGAAAGATAAGCTAAAATATTTCAAATAAAAATCAAAGTAAGAATTCAAATATGTTAAAAGTTCGTTTTCTTTACATAAATAAATATTTAGGCTTTTTTTTTTCCTATTTGCTTATCAAACTATCATACATACCTACGTTGCTTTAGAAGAAGCCTATCAAAATGAAAAAATAAAAATATTTCTTTAAATTTGTAAGAAATAATTTTTACGAAATGAAAAATTTATTAAAATGAATAAATTGAATTTTGGAAAAGAGAATTTGAAAAAAAAGAATCAATTGTGGATATTAGTGTAGCAGCTGGTGGACAATCATCAAAACTATTGGTTCCATCGGGATAGTTGTAGTAGTAGTAGTAGTAGTAGTATGAGTGATTGAGATTGTATGTAGTGTTTTGTGATGACCACTAACTACACTACTAAAAAGGATTGGATTGCTTTGAAGAATTATCCTCCTCTCCTTCTTCGCTTCCTCCATCATTCTTTCTGGTATATAAGAAGAGTTAGTTGAGCAGCAGATGTTCGAAGATGAGAAAAGATTTTGGAGGACATGTTCATGTGACAATCAACTTTTCTCATATATTTTCCTCCACCTTCACATTTCCATTCCCTCACCTACTCCTCCTCCTCCTCCTCCTCCTCCTCTCACTAGCATCCTTTTTTTTTTTTACCCGTCTTAATTAGGATGATTTAATTTAATTTATTTTATTTCTATTAATTAATCCATATTTTTTTTGGAATATAAATAATAGCGAAAATATAAATGATTTAACTTAATCTATACTGTAAATAATTACTCAATTTTAGATGATTTTGATAATTGAAATATGAAATACTGAATATATGAATTCTTATTCTTTTGTTTATAAATGTTAACCTGTTAATTAATTTTTATACTAAACTCGAAATCACTTAATTATTTTTTTATACTAAACTCATTAACCTATTAATTAATTTTTATAGTAAACTCGAAATCACTATATTCAATTTTCGATGATTTTGATAATTGAACTATAGAATATTGAATATATGAATATCTTATTCCTCTGATTATAAATGTTAAATAGTTAACCTAATCTGTGCCGTAAATTAATTT